CAGCATCAAAAGATTGTTGAGTTATATATGCCCATAAGACCATGTATTTATGGGCATTATATATTTTTAGATGGGACATATATTTCATTTCCATCTATTTCTAGGTTGTTATATTTAATTCTAGCTGGAGATTGGCCTAAGATTTATATATAATATCATCTGGTATAGTTTACCGTTTCTAAAAATCCTCCGATTTATATCCATTTCTGAAAATCCTCCGATTTATATCTATTTCATTGCTTTTATCACTTATCTTGATTAGTTGAGTTGTTGAGGCCATAATATTGGTATGAGCTTGTCATGTGCTATGTTATTCAGATTCGAGCTTGTCACTTTCTTTTGGAGTTGTATCTTTATATTAACGCCCGAAAATATATTGGGCACGACTATAGTCTGAGAAACATAGATAATATGAGTTTTATTCTATCGCATTGCATTCTATGTCGTGAAAAGAACTAAGATAAAAAGTTTGCATCTAGATTCTGCTTGCATCTATATCCTGCTTGTGATCCAGGAATATAATCTTGTCTGCCAACATCGTTGGACGCCTAATGGATTACATAGTGGGGTTTGAAAATTAAACTAAAAATGACTAAATTGAATAGTTCTACGAAGTTCGGGTGTTTAACCCAGATCCTTAGAAGTCCAGTCAAGCTCTTTCAATAAGATTTCATGATGTACTTCGTCTGCTTCGTCGATAAACTTTCTTAGAATCTGCCAAGGAGAATCGTTAGTAATACTTGATTCTTGTCTTTCTAAATGGGGACTGCTGGTATCTTCAATTCTCTTGGGATTTTGTGGGTGGGTTATGTGCATTACAATTATCTTCGGTTGGGTTCTGATTGGCAGAAACACTCTTTGGTTTAGGATCTGACATGCAACATCTTTGTTTCTTTGTTTGTAACTAATGTCACCGTCGTCATTTGAATCTTCACGATTTAAAGAAAGTTGCGGAATGAGCCCCGTCTCTTCATCATATGAATCCACATCATTGTTGTTTTGTATCTTCCAAACATCGTCTTTTGAACCGTTGTTTGGCTTCTCTTCATCGTTTGGTTTCGGGTGTAGGTTTAGATCCAAATCCATTGCATATCTGTCTCTGATCTGACTATTGGAGTCGTCATCCGAATTTGAAATATCAGGAATCGAACTAATCTCTTCATCGTTACTCTTCTTTGCATCTCTATTCTTTATCTCGCAAATAACCCGAACATTCAAATCCTTGCGTTTTAAAGAAAACTCATGCATAACCCAATGCCCATTATCTTTGTTTGTCGTCTGATCATTCATGGTAGTAAAAGTGAAGTACTTATGAATCCCCAAAACCCGACCCTTTTTGTCCAAAATTTCCATCGTGCTGATATTTAGATCACTTTTTGGTGCTGGTAAGTCTTGGATTCACTTGAAAGAATAATCACATTGTAACCACCACATGACAAAACATGGTAATGAACAAACAAGAAAAGAAGAAAAAGCTACAATATGATTTTTGTGTTATATTTTTAGTATTATATTTTCTTACTTATTTGAATTATGTTTTTTAATATAAATTCATGAGATAAATAATAATGATAAAGTATGCAGAATTAAGTATAATATAAAAGATAAATAAATAAATTATTATATATAGAAGATATAATAAATATTATATCTTAGATAACAAAAATAATTTACATCTTTTTATTATTATGAATATCTATGATAAATTATTGTATATAGAAGAATGTAAACCTTGTCGATTGAAAAATACAAAAAACCTCTCAGTGAATGCGTCGCGTATGAACCGAAGCTAGTTTCCACAATGTAAACATTTAGTTAAATGTTGATGTAAAATTTTAATATATTTTCATATAAATTATGTAAAATTTAATATTGATTAAAATAAAAATAATATATGATATATTTAAATACTCAAGTAATATATTATCAACAGATAAAATTTTAATATAAATAATTTTTATTTAAATATTTAGAATTTCACTTGTTAAAAAATATAGACCAAGGACAATTTGGTAAAATATACATTCCATTAATCTTTTATTCCTTCAACCAAACACTGTAATCTTACATTCCTGCCAAACCAACCAAACACAGTAATGTAACATTCCCAGTAATCTTATTCCCTGGTAATCTTTTATTTCCACTGGTAATATTACATTTCGTGAACCAAACGCACCCTTAAATCACAACTAATTCCATGTACTGGAACATGAATCCAATTTAAGATGGTATTTATATGAATTATGAGCAACAACAATGCTCAATACTTCTCAAATTTTATCATTGTTCATCGTCAGTGCTCAACTAACCCCAAAAAAATGAAACATCACATGATCTCTAATCGCCCTCGGTATCTTTTGTTTTAAGGCAGTAACCCCTTATTATAATAACAAATAATGCCAAGATTTAGGGGATATAATAACAAGAGAGAGAAGTTGAAGCTACAATTAAGAGTCTGTTTGTTTCATTGAAAATGTTTTTAAGAAAATATTTTCCGTTGTTTGGATGTTACTATGTAAATTGTTTTTCCATGTTTGGTTGATATTTCTGAAAATAATTTTCAGAATCTGTTTTCAATAAACAATAATATATATTTCATGGTTTTTTATTTTTATTTATTGTTTACTAAATTAATTTATTGTTATAAAATTATAAATTTTATAATTTTTTTAATATAAACTACAATATTTTATTTCTATAGGTATGTCAAAATATCAAATCATATTTGAAAAGATAAACAAGCATACATCATTTTATCTTACTGTTACAAAAGATCAAGTCATATTCTAAAGGATAAAATTATGCAAAGATTCCAATGAAAATTGCTCAAAATTTTACCATAATCCCTTTTTAGAATTCTATAAGTTTGATAATAAGAGAAAGTCAAGTAAATAGAAAAAATAGTATATTATTATGATGATGATGTAATTATACATTAACACGTTGTGGAAACTTGCATGCTTCACATGTCGAAACTTGAACGAAAATTTTCTCTTATCATTCTATACCAACATTTAATATGTATAGCAAAAGCATATGGATAAGACCATAATAGGTGTATATACTATTGCCTTTTTTCGCAGAATAAAAATAGACCTACAAAGCAAACCCTACCAATTGTTCTATCATCTCAATAAATCAACGTATGCTCTAAATATATCTTCTTTCCTCATCTCACCCTTTACCATAAAATTTGTCATATTGTTACAATGTCAAAACTCGTAGATAAATCATAAGTTTCCTCACTTGGCTAACTATTTTGTATATAAATGTATGTATGCAACTAGCTATGCAGCACAACACAAACAAATCAAATACATAGAAAAAATTTAGTTGAGTTGACAACAAATGGCTACTCCTATAATCACAAACGTCGATCTTACAATTAGTGGTGGCGCCTCACAAAGTCAGTTGCAATGACCTTGAAAACCAAGGTGGTTGCATCACACCAGCTTCACAACACAATCCTAAAGCATTAAACAATCGTGAGTTGTTAAGACTTAAATTATCATTCACATCTTTTTGATATATAGACATCACCTTCAACATCACCGAATCATGTAATATGACCACATCACCGCTCCAGCTCCATCGCGGCATCCACCACCACCAAGGATACAACACTACAAACTAAAACAATACGACTAAATAAACGTCAACATTCATAAAAAAATTATGCAAAAAAACGACCATTGTGCACAAAACAATCATAAAAAATTATGCACCAGCCAAGACCTTTATAACTCGAAAGATTATGTACAAAACAATCATGAAATCATGATAAAGACAGTAAAACTATTGTGGTTACGAGCTACATATTTGAATCAAAACAATTGAAGTTGCTCCATCAACTTATCAAATACACTATTGACATATCAATTTCAATGAACTTACTATCAGATCCTCACCCAGCAACTCCTAAAGAATCTGATATTTCTTACCTTTAAATCGATAGGAGTAGAATTATAAAAACCCATCTCTATCGTCTTCTCTTATCTGATTCACGATTGTTTCACATGAATGAAGTAGCCTATAAAAGTTTGAGTAACAAATCATTAGAACTTAACTCTGAATTTTTTTAAAAATTGAATTATTAACAAGTTTTTATCACCTCTTACCTATAGAAAATGAAGAACGAAAAGGAGGCATTCTGTTTTATTTTTCTATTGAAATAAGGGTATGAATGAGAGATTCAAATGGGTGTTTGTTATATTAGTTCAATTGAGGGGGAAATAGAGAAAAATAATGAATCAAGAGTGAAATATTACTCATTGTGTCGCCGATTAAAGAAAATTTTGATGGTACCGCCGACAAGGAGAAGAGAAGGCAAGATGGTACCGCCGGCAAGGAGAAAAGAATGCAAGAAAATATTCTTGTGAACGTGAGAAAGAAAAGAGAAGTTTTTGTAAAATAACTTATCGAGTATTCTTGGTAAGTCATTTTACCACAATACATACCCTTTTTTCCTTTGATCGTAAATTGTTTTATATTGACTCATTTTACTTTGCATTGCTAAACATGAGAAAACATGAAAAATATTTTTTGTAATACATTTTACACCAAACAAACAAACACTAAATTGTAATGAGCTTTATTTATTTTTGGTATAACCATCTATATTCGATATATTGATCGAATAATCTGAATTAAGTACTACAGAGACAAGGGCAACCCTCCTAACTCAATTCACTCCATTCACAATCACCAGGATTCATATTTGTATCTTAAGAATGTGTTGGGTTGAGAGAATCATCTTATAATAAATTTTTATAAAATTTGATCTAAAATAATTGATTAATAAATAAAATATAAGTAGTTAAACCAAAAGACAAATAGCTCTTTCCAATCGCTTTTTTTTTCCTATCATTGGCCTAGGACTGTTTTATTTCAGTACTCATATTTCAGTGACCAATTTTGTAATTTTCCCAAAATTAAATCAGCTCTCAATTTGACCTTAAAACCCCTTAAATGAAAGGATATTCGTTATCTTTGCTCCCCTCTTCCTTTTCCCTTCCGGTTCGTTTATTCCCCAATTTAATATACTATCGAGAAGCAGAACAGAGACCCAAGTAAATCGCCTGCAGTGATGTCCCACGTACTCCTCCACCATCTAGTTCCAATCACAATCGTCCATCTCAAATCATGTTCTTTCCCCACCCCTAAACCAACGGCCTATATTCACCTCCGCACCAACCCATCAACGGGCGCCACCATAAAGTGCATGGCCAATCCCAGGAGAGTTAAAATGGTAGCGAAACAGATAAGGAGAGAGCTCTCCGACATGCTCTTAACTGACAAGGTGTTGCAATTCGCCGTCTTGCCTGAAGCCGCCTTAGGAGCCGACCGCTACCTCTCTTCCCTTACTACCATAAGTGACGTTGAAGTTTCAGCTGATTTACAGGTACCCTTTTCTGTGTAAATACTTGTGTTTACTGGGGATTTCTGGGTTCTCCTTGTAGCAGCTTTTGGTTTCATGAACTATGTAAATAGCTTAGCTAATGAAGTAGAAAAGTTTTTTTTTCTGTTGATTTGCTTAATTTGTTGGTTTTTGTTGAACTTTAGGCTCTCAATTTGAGGAGGTGAAGAGTTTAAGAATTTAATGGTATAGGATTTGCTTTAGTGAATGACATTTCCTTGTTACTTGTCTAAGTGTGTGCAGGCCTTGGGGGAATTGAATCAATTGATTGAAAGGGAAGTAATAACAACTTGTTAGGGTTTATGCTTGTCTTGGGTATATTGTTCCATTGACCTAGTGAAAAGACGTAGGAAGTATCAGGGATTCATTATGTTCGAACGGATGGTTGAGAAATCTCCATTTCCAGGAACAGCAAATTAATATACATCATTGCGGTTGGTTGACTTTATTTAAAATCGGTTGGCACCTAATAATTCATGTTTTTTCTGTCCATGGAAGTAGGTTGTTAAAGTGTATGTATCTGTTTTTGGTGATGAGAGAGGGAAGGATGTTGCGGTTGCTGGATTGAAGTCTAAAGCTAAGTACGTTAGAAGCGAGCTGGGGAGGCGTATGAAGTTGCGGATTACACCAGAGATACGCTTTATCGAAGATGAATCTCTGGAGAGAGGAAGCAGGGTAAGTGCTTGCAATATATTGTTTTTGTTGATGGTAAGTGCTTACAACGAAGATGAATTTCTGAGCCAATCTGATTTGGTAAACCTGTTTCAGGTAATTGCCATATTAGACAAGATAAAGGAGGAGAAAAAGACTGCAGTATATGAAGATGAAGAAGAAGAAGCAGCGGCAGAAGAAGTTGAATCCATGTCGTCGCGAGATGACAGAGACTGGGAGGATGATGACCCTGATGAAGATATTATTTACGTAAAGTAGTTGCCTTGCCTTCTCATTTGCTTAGTATTTCTTCAGGACAGAATGAAGAAGTTGTCATAACATTTTTACAGGTTTGTTTCTCCTTGTGGATTAGCTTAGTTCAATGGTGTTTCAGGTTGATTCTTCTTTGAACCCAGGCTCTCTTTTACTTGATTATATAGTATTGAGTGAAAGGGAATAATTAAAAAACTCGATTAGAAGGTAAATGAACAATTTGCCCGTTTTGGTTAAATCTTGTTGGTTCATAATGGGATTTTGAAAACCTCATCGTTGTGGTGAAAGAAACTTAGAAATTGTTGGGACTTGAGAACGTGTCCTAGATATATACAGATTGAGCGTAATTAACGGTTTCTTCGTTTCGGGTACATAATAGGTTGATTAGACTCATTTCACATATCCGCGTACATTCAACAGCACATTAAGGCATGTTCTCAATTTTGTATAACTTCTTCGATGTTGGTCAATGAATGAATACTACTTGTTTGAAGCATTTGTTAATGTATTGCAGTGTGGAATTTCCGAACCCCGAGTCTCGTCTCATTTAGTGCCACTGCCATTGTCCGAAAGCGTTCATCCTACATGAATTTCTGTACTGATTTCACTGTTTGATTCATGTGCAATATATACATCATATAATGAACATTTATCAACACTTATGCTACGTTTGGTTGGGGTGTTACTTTTTCTTCATGAAATTTTCTACTAAAGAATGATTTCTTTTCATGCATTGCTTAATAACTTTGTGGTGGATTTGAATTTCTAGTAAAGATGTAAAAACACTTTGCTCAATTTAATTGGGAGTATTATACTCGTTGAAGGCACGGCTGCATCGATATATCGGGTATCGCTTTCACTTATTGATTTCTTTTCATTCAAAGATGCATTAGGCAAGAGTCAGAGATTTTATTCTGCAGGAATAACTTGATTGATAAGCCAATGTTGTTGATACTAATAAGTGACGGCAGTATTACATTTAACAATAATGCATATAATCATCCAACATGTTGCCAATTAACAAAATCATCATAGTGCCATTGCCAACCTAAAAATTAAATCCTGAAGGGCCATGTTTATAACACAAAAACAATTTTGGGTGATAAGAATGTCGTGGTCCGCAAAAGCTTTATAAGCTGAAACGAAAAACTGGTACAATACCATCGATATGCTTTATTCCTACACCAAGCTCAATCCATGCAATTCAAACCAACTACGAACATGCTTCGGTGGTGACTGGTGAGCCTTTGCTTCAGCTTTCCTTCGAGACCTTGCCTTAGCCCGCGGGTAAAAGTAAAAGCAATAAGTAAGCACATCTTTGAAGCAAAGGTAACATGTTATTCTCAAATTATATCGTAAAGAAAAACAGGAAGCCGCCGTTAGTGAAACACATTATCAAGCCTTACACTCGGTGTTTACACATAGTGGCATGAGTTGATCTCACAAGAGCGAGAGTGCCGGTGCCGGAGTAGGGACCAGGTGGAGGCGCCATCGATTTGCTTTGATTGGGAAATCGACGGAGTTTCAGGTCAGAAGAAACAGTAGCGCTTACCCTAGAAAATTTCGTTGGGATACTTTTTATCTCTACAAGACAAGTTCCATCAATTCATATCGTCCTACTCTCGAGTAAAACATCTCACTCTTATATGAACGCAACTGAAAGTTGGGATACTTCCTAAAATTGTTGCAGCAGACATTGTACCTCAATAATTGATTCCGGTAAAAACCTTCCTCGGCCTACAAAAGAGCCTGTTATACACAATCTTTTCTCTCTCAATACTCATTGAACTTGTAGGCTCTTTAATTGCAAATTCTTCGGTTCACTCTTTTTTTTTCTTTAACCTTCTTGGAAATGCCTTCATTTAAGCTCTTTATTTATGCCACACATCATTTTTATTATCTCCTAATTTTCCAGTTACACTACTCTGCTTGGTGAAGGGGTATTACCTTCCAGAGCAGTTGAACCTAAAAAGTAAAAAAAAAAATGTAGAGTTTTTATTTGGTAGGCACTAAACTTCGATAAAAAGTTTAATTTGATATCTAAAGATTTCTTTTGTTCCAAATAGGTATTTGAACTTAGGTTTAAAGTTCGATTTTTCTTCCCAAATAGGTATTTGAACTTAGGTTTAAAGTCCAATGTAGTACAGAAAGGTTGTATGGTCTAAATGATCAAAACGATAACTTTTTTGGTTGAAATTAGTACTTATGGTAAATGATCTATTTCAACCAAATTGAATTATAAAAAATCAATTTTAGTTACCAAAATGCGAAATTCAAGTATATAATTGAATAAAAATATAGATACCAAAATGAACATTGAAACCAAATTTAGATACCAAAACGTATATTTACCCATAAGAAATATACAAAGTCTGAACTCCCCTATGCAACAAACGGAAGCAAGTTCCATATATAGAGCTGCATGAAAACAGGTTCAGGAAGTTTCTTGTTAAAGATTTGAGGATAATTGCTTTCCAAGTCCGAATCCTTATTACAGTGTCTGATTAATGAATCATTAAACAGTTCTACAAACGAAATGCCCAACTCTTCACGGAAAAACAAAAGAATACAGAAGAGTTCAAGTTCAACTCTTCTAATGCTAATGCAACAAATCCTATCAACTTAATGCTTACGATTCCAATACGACGATCTACCATATAAATAAATTAATCAAGTATAATGATTATAAACGATGATTATTCAAGCCGATGTATGATTTTACTTCGTTCCGTCATCTGAGATTAGATATCTGATGCAGGTTGAATTGTAATTACCATAAGCATGAAAGTCCTTTGATGTTGGAGGTTGAAAACTGATAATAACATAGTGGAACAGGGAACAACCTACTGATTTGACTCGGTTTTTGAGGTCGTGTTCCCGTTCTGTTGTTGGGGCTGCTGAGAAATGTTGAGCTGGAACATCTGGTGATTAACAGAAAGCTGCTCCGAAAACATGCCGTTTGAGGGGTTCGAATCACCGCCTAGCTGTTGAGTAGCAAGCTTTAATCGCTGGACCTCAGCAGTTAATGCATCGTTTAGAGCTTTCCAAATGTAACACAAAAATGAAGTATAGGTTACTGAAGCATAAAATTTCAGGAAACGCAGTAGTCAGATGAACAGTTTGATACAAGTAATCATCAGAGATATCGAAGGGATGAAATACGAAGACATATATGCGGACAACCAACTCTGTTTAGGAGAAAAGTCATCACAAGTTCAGCACGCTGAATGGCAATACCAAAGATAACAATTCTTACAGAAACCTATAAGGCTTGGCAAGCGGCATGCTCGTAAAGTAAGTTTATGAACCTTTCAATCTCAGTAGTTCAGTAAAAGTAGAAGCAGCATATTTGCAGTAACAGCAGACAAGATAGCAAGATGCGTGCCGCACTAGCAATCTAGCATATGATAGGAGCAAAATTTGTAGCACGAACAGCTATGAGCAAGCAAAAGAAATTGTTTTCAATACTATGACTTATATAACTGCGCTGAAAAGCAGGCACTCCGACTCAAGTATTCGAAACACTCATTAAAAGCAAGTTAATCAAAGAGCTCAATAAGATTGCTCAATACATCAAATTAGGCATCCATAACTGCAATCTTTGCAATTCAAAACTCTAAATACTTTGTCAAATGAAAAAGGTCAGAGATTTAAGTTAAATGAAAATTGGATCATACCATCACGGAGTTGTGCCTGCTGCTCCATGGCTTGAAGACGAAACTTCAACTCATTGTTCTGATTTGTGAGCCCAACAGAATCTCTCTACATCAATTTAAATTCAATCATGAGAAAAGAGAAAACTAAAGCTAGGAAATGTCGATATAACATGCTATGCTCTAAAATCTTCAACCTGTAAAAGTGTTAGCTGAGCAGACAAGGTGGTAGCTTCGGTCTGCAGAGTCTGAACCTTGTTCTCCAACTCTGAAATGTAACGCATCTTCCTTTCTTTGGAACGGGCAGCTGATTGACGATTTGTCAAAATCCTTCAAAGAACCAAATAACAGAAGTGAAATGCTTTTGTAAGATAAGAAAGTTACAAAGCAGTACTCGAACAGTAGGATACCTCTTTGCCCGCTTTGGATCAGTCATTGCAATCTCGACAAGTTTCAAGGCTGAGACAAAGACCGGGAATGAGTTGGTCCCGAGTTAAAACCCTGAGAACCCATTTCCTGGTTCGAAGAGCGGGACATGGGGATCTGTGAATAAGGTGAAATGAGTGGGATCTGGTTAGGGTGTGAAGGAGGGATACCAACTCTTTTGTTAGTAGCATAGCCGGCGCCACCATTATGGCCAAAATGAGAGAAATGTCCATCAGCTCTGATTTGATTAAGATCCAACTGAGGTATTTCAAAATGATCCATTGATAAATGTTGTTTTTGGATTGAAGATGGTGATGTCCCAAATGAAGATTGAAGCCTTTGCATCACAACATCAGTGTTACCTTCTTCACCATCACCCATGTTCTTTTCTCACAAAATTTAAATTAAAAAAAAAAAAGCTCAAAAAGTAGAAAAAAAAAAACTTTGGACAATTCAAGCTCAACTTAGTTCACTCCAAAACAAAAACAGCAACAATTTGACACAGCAGAATCTGCAAAGTGAGAGATACAGAGAATTTGACAGCAGAAACAAAATCAATGCAAGTAAAGTAGAATCAGCAGAATTTAGAGGAAGGATTATATTAAGTGATGGTTTTAAGAACCTTGTAAATGTAGGTCAAATAAAGGGTGGGAAAATGAGAGGAAAAAAAAACAAAGAAACAAAGCCAATTGCCTTCCGGCTTAACTTAGCAAATAACAAAGTGAACAGGCGAAGGTGCAAGTTAGCAAGGTGGCAACACCACCAAAATCTCCGCCGAATTTAGCGGCAGGCGCTTTCTCTCTCTCTCTTCGTTTTCTCTGTTGGAAATATATATTTTAAAATAAATGAGGTTGGGGGGGTTTGTCGGTCTATTCACAAACTTTTTTTTATAATAATAAGGTAAATACAATATAATTCTTTTAAGATTTTTAATTATTAGAAAATAAATGTTTGCATTATTATATACAAGATACTCAAATGCAGGAATATAAGGGATAATAATAATTTATTAATTATTATTAATAATTTTTATTAATCTAAGATGATTATAAAGTAATATTTATTTTAAATAATTTTAATTATTTAATAATAAACGCTCAATCATCTGTTATAGTCGTTGATGTTTGAACTTATAACATCTAAAAATAATAATTACTTTAATCATTAAGATAGAACAATTAGTGTATAATTTATTAATTATTTAATAAAGGATGCTTTTTAGCCCCTTTTTAGTCGTTTTACAGTAGAATTTCTCGTGGAAAAAAATAAATCTTTTTATTGATAAATTCGATAAAGGGGACACGGATTTCATGACATGCACGTAGTACCATTTCATTTGGATTTGCATTTCATTTTCATTCCGACCTCATTGCACAATTCCTCGGCTTTTCTACCTAAAGATCACCCTAAATCTATAATATTTCCCTTTTAATACTTTTTTTCAATATTTCTAAAACTAGCACCCATTCAGTTGATGTGGATCGAAGGCGTGTTTCCAGGCTCGTGCCTTCCAATTGATGTGATACCACAGTAAAAATAGTGTTTTAGGGGTGTGCTTTCTGAAAGTTTTTTTGGAAACGTACTTTTTCACAAGGTTTTGAATTAGCTTTTTTATTATTTTAATAAAAATATAACATTATTTTTAAATAATTATTTATAAAAATAATATAACAACTTTTTAAAGAAAATGTATTAATTTAAAAATATTTTTTTACCAATTATTAAAAAAAATTAACTCAAATAAGATAATGATTTGAGTTATATTAGAGAGAGATTCATTTGGTGTGAAAAATAAGGGGTTAAAGGGTTTATATAGGGGAGAGGGTTTAGGTGGAAAACGGGGAAATTAATTGTCCTATTAATGGAAGGTACGTCCCCGGAAAAACACTTTTCGATGAGGCACCAAAATCCCACGAAGGCACACCCCTTGAAAAGCGTCTTCTCTCGCGTGGCAACTCAGTCAGCAGAAATTCATGGAAAGTGTGGTGCGTCCCCTGAAACGCTCATTCCGCCTTGTCAACAAAATTCCCATTAAAGCGCGATCCCGGAAACATACTTTCCTTCCACGTCAGTCGAATGAGTGCTAATTTAAAAATTATTAAAAAAAAGTGTTACATCATGAATATTAGAAAAATATAGTGATATTTAGGTAGAAAAGCCCAATTCCTCCCGCCTTTATCTCCGCACCTTATTTAACTCAATAAAATCTTATTCATATTTAATATTTTTCTGGATAAATAAAAGTGTATGAGTAAAAAAATCACTAATACTACTAAAAATCATCTTATGAGTTCATATTTTATTTATTATTTAATTAATCTGCTCTAAAATATATAAAAGATTAATTTTAAAATATATTTAATAATGCAAGTTTTAGAAGTTGTTTAAATAATTTAATATTTCACCTTAGTATCACGGATAAGTATTTTATCGATTTGAGTTAAGTTAAAAAAATTTGATTTAGTAGAGTTACTTATTTTTATTTATAACTCAAATTTTATTTGAAATTTTTTCAAGTCGAGTTTCTGAAATTCGAGTAGATTCGAGTTATTCAAGTTTATGTTTAAATTAAATTAAAGATATTTATAATATTATCGTATTATTTAATTCAAATTTAAACATTTTTTCAAACTATATATAGAGAGAGGTCGGATCCAATTATATTGTGTAAAACTTTTTAGTTTTACATTTTTCAGGACAATTAGATAAGATAAATTAAAGGTTGAGATTAATAATAGAAAAAGAGAAAATATTAACTAAAAATGAGTTAATTTCATCCTTTGATTTCCCTGAACCAAACGATCCTAAAAAGTGTAAAATTAAAAGAGTTTTACCTTTGATTTCCCACAATTCAACGATCTTAAAAAAGTGTAAAACTAAAATAGTTTTACACATTGTAAGTGAATCATAACCTATATATCTTCATTTTTTTTTCATATGTGATATACATGTATCATGTAAAATTTAGAAACTCAATCGAACTTGAAAACTAATCAACTATTTACTAAAATTTTTGAATTATTCGAGTTCTATTTTATAACTCGACTTAAATTTGAAACTTTTTCAAGTCGAGTCAAGTTTATGAAATTATGAGTCAATTTGTTAACGTTAAAGAGTCAAAAAAAATTAATATTTTTCGAATCAATTTGAATTTTACTCACTCCTACATACTATAGCTAAATAATAATTTGTGAATAATTGCAAATAACGCACAAGAATCCATCATGTTTCTTAATAGTTTAAGGTGGTTACAAGATAATATATGTTCACAACTTTTTAAACTTCTTGATAATGCGCATATATCCTGTAGACGCAACTACTAAAATTAGTCATCCAGAAATTCTAAAAAATAATATTTTATTTTATCACTGAGAGCGATTAATGAATTGAAACTGTTATATTTTTAAATCAAAAGGAGGATAATTATCTATTATGGGGAGAAATTAAGAATAAATCTCACAACTCTCTATATATCTGATATGCTTAACGATTCAAAGGTCGTCTTCTCACAACTTTCTATTCGCCCATCATAGGACCAATACATCTATAATGTAGAGGGATTTTGCCTCTTTTATTATTCAAAAAAAAAATTTGATGAATCCATTTAGAGGTCTTAATAACTAAAAAAAATATTATTTTTCTTACATATTTAGATTAGAATAACTATATCTTTAGGATATGTAGTTTACACATAAATTCTCAATTCCCTGACATCATCAAGAAGTCAATTCAATCTTTCGGGTGCTGGAAGGAGAAAATCTTTGAGAGAATCTGCCCTTCAAAAAAGGGTGGGTCATCTTTGATTTCCCTGTGCACAAATGCAATGCTCTCATTGTACCATATTTGTGTGTGTATACATATATATATATATATATATACATATTATAATTAAGAAAATACTCTTGTTTTGTACCACTTGGCTAACTCATCTACTCTGTCTCTTGGTTGAGAAATTGACATTTAGGAAACACTGGCGCCGTAACGACCTAAGACGGGATAGACGCATAATTTTATGTTAGAAGGTAAACTTATAGAATTATACGGGGAAAAAGTATATTATTTATATAAAATACCTATATTATATGAAATTTTAAAATTTTCATGGAGATGACCGCCCCGCCAGTCCCCTTCGATCCATCCTGGCCGTAGATTTGGCAATGAAAAGTTATAATAATGAAAATGTTGTCCAATGAGTTCATAATCTAATGCAAGGCTCCGGGGTCTATTTGCATGTATGAAATCACAAGGTCATTTGGATAGTAAAGATTAATTACCAGGGGAATAAGAGTCTTGACTGCAGATAGAAGAACCACTTTGTTCTGGTCCACTCCGGTGAATTTGAGATTTAACAGTTTAGGAATTATAGAAACCTACATCTATGGAGCAAAGAAACCTCCTTTCGTCAAAAAGCTCCATCCCTTTTCTTGTAATCCGTTCCTTAAGTTCCGTCGAATCTTTGCGGTAGTCTGCACCAAAAACATGGTACACGCTCCACAAGCTACTTGATGGTGATGTAGCGATTTGTCCCATGTCTAGCCCAGTAGGTCTTCAGATCCAATGGTATAGAGAGATCCTGGCCTTCAGCAGCCAAGCGACTGAGCAACTTTGTGAAGACACTACCACTCATCTTCCGGCCACCCACTCGGGCATGACGTTTATTCGGCAACTGTGGCAATGGGTATGATGACATGGTGGTAGTGCAACAAGATGACTGCCATCCACCACTTCCCCACTTGTAGCAATGTCGGGGAACTCCTGTGCAGGTGCAAACTGGCACGGGCATTGTGGTTTCGTCAAAGTTTACCATGTTCAATCCAATATCCTGACCATTCCACTCAGATTTACACTTCCTTACCTCAGTACCAGCTGACCGATTTAAACCCTCAGCCAATTTCTTAATCTTCCTAGGCGGCTTTGGTGAAGAAGCTTTATTCACCTTTGTCCGCTTTACAGGACAAGACTTGCCTTCAGAAGTTATGGTAGATAATGGGATGGCATCAGTAACGTGCTTTTCACAATGGAG